TCTTGGGGGCCTCTTGGGCAGTCCTGAGGCCATCGTGGAGGCCTCTTGGGCGCTGTGGGGGCGATCTTGGGGGCCTCTTGGGCCGTCTTGGGTCGTTGGAAAGCCGAAAAGGAGCAAATACGAAAAACCTTAAAATACCAACGGAAAATCAATAATGATTTTAGCCTCTTCGGGCCCTCCTGGAGGACCTCTCGGAGGCTTCTTGGGCCGTCTTGGATGCCTCTTGGGCACCTCTTGGGCCGTCTTGGGCCGTCTTGGAGGTTTCTTGGGCGGACTTGGAGGCATCTCCTCCTCTCCTGGGCCGTCTTGGAGGCCATCTTGGGCGAACTTGGAGGCCACCTTGGGCCATCTTGGAGCCGTCTGGGGCAGGAAAACCCTTTGCAACTGGCTCTGGAAGATCCTGGACAATCCTTCCGGGACCCCGCCGGGACGCGCCGGAGCCCCAGGGGGAGTTCTTTTGGAAAAGAACCAAAACCAAAACCGAAAGGGTTCAGCACGCCAGGCACCCCTGCGATGAATCGACAGGGGGCGGCGAATCGGATCCTAGTGGCCGTCGGCCCATCCCGCCACCGTGCCTGGGTTGTAGGTCTGAGGCCTCTTGAATTTGTGTTGGGGTGTCGTGGGGAGCCTGTTGGAGGCGGTTTGGGCGCCTCTAGGGGGCCTCTTGGGGCCTCGTGGGGTATCTTTTGGGCCTCTTGAAGGCCCCTCGGGCACGTCTTGCGCGCCTCTTGGGGCATCTTGGGGCCTCTTGGCTGCCTCTTGGGGCCTCCTGGGGTCTTCTTTCTCGGGGTACGAATATCGAATGTTCGGTTCGTGGTCCCCTGCTTTGGCCCCTCGCCGTCTTTGGGGCCCTCTTGGGCCTTCTTGAGCGCTCCTTGGGCCATCTTGGGGCCGTCTTGGGGCCTTCTTGGAGGGGACTTGGACCGTCTTGGGGCGGTCTTGGGAGCTTCTTGAGCCGTCTTGGAGCGTCGGAAAGCCGAAAATGCGAGAAGGCCAAAATCCTTCAAACACCTTCGTACAATCTACGATTAGGGCTCTTGGGGTTCTCTCGGGAGGCCTCTTGGAGCACTCTTGGGACCTCTTTGGGCCCTCTTGGGCCGTCTTGGAACCATCTTCGGGCGCCTTGGAGCACTCGTGGCCTCGGCAATGCGAGTACGGTGTAATCTGCGAAGGTTTATTGTTTGGGGGGCGCGGATATTGTGTAATTTGCGGGGGGGGGGTGCCTCGGGGGCGCGCGAACATTTACTAGGGTTTGTGGCCTCGGGGACGCGAACATTGCGTAATGTACGAGGGCGCGACTCTCATGTATTTTTACGTGTCCCACGCCCCCCCCATGAATTCAGAGAACGCGATCCGGGCGTGGTATCCGGGTGGAGGAGGAGGAGGAGGAGGAGGAGGAGGAGGAGGAGGAGGAGGAAGGAGGAGGAGGAGGAGGAGGAGGAGGAGGAGGAGGAGGAGGAGGAGGAGGAGGAGGAGGAGGAGGGAGGAGGAGGAGAGGAGGAAGGAGGAGGAGGAGGAGGAGGAGGAGGAGGAGGAGGAGGAGGAGGAGAGGAGGAGGAGGAGGAGGAGGAGAGGAGGAGGAGGAGGAGGAGGAGGAGGAGGAGGAGGAGGAGGAGGAGGAGGAGGAGGGAGGAGGAAGGAAGGAGGAGGAGGAGAGGAGGAGGAGGAGGAGAAGGAGGAGGAGGAGGAGGAGATGAGAAGGAGGAGGAGGAGCAGGAGTAGGTAGAGGAGGATGAGGAGGAGCAGGCAGGAGAGGTCGAGGAGAGGAGGAGGAGGAGGAGGAGGAGGAGGAGGATGAGGAGGAGGAGGAGGAAGGAGGAGGAGGAGGAGGAGGAGGAGGAGAGGAGGAGGAGGAGGAGGAGAAGGAGGAGGAGGAGGAGGGGGATGAGCGGGTGGGAGCAGTCGGAGATCGTGGAGGCGAAGGGGGCGTAGGAGGGTGGACGTGCTGACGGAGGATGAGGATGAGGAAAAGGTGAAGGCGGAGGAAGAAGAGGAGGATGAGGAGGGGGAGGAGGAAGAGGAGGAGGAATTGAAGGAGGAGGTGGCCGAGCTGGAGGCGGAAGTGGAAGAGGAGGAGGACTTTTTTACCCAAGATGCATCGACTATGTTGCAATTCACCCTCCCTCCGAGTCTCCCCTCCTCAGGTTCCGACAGCAATCTATGCTAATTGCAGAAGGGCCCATTGAAATATCACCGTTTGAGAATCCTCAGTCGTGCCAAAACGCTGTCCCTAGGACTTCAAACGCCGCGGGTTAAAAATTGCTGTTGCGTCCTGGCAAATTTAAAACCGTGCTAGAACACTACTCCCGGGCCTCCACAGCGAGTCAACGTGATTGGTTCGTCTTGACAGTCCTGAATCGTGCCCGAACACAGTTCTTGGGACTTGAGCCCTACGGATCCTCGAAGCTGCTTCAAACTTTCAAAACGAATTCGCGCGGCGCTAATGCGAGAGCCGAATTTTGAAAATGATCCACCCTCCATCCTTGAGACTGCTGCAAACGTTTGAGACGAATGTGCGCGGCGCGACGGCGAGAGCCACATGTTGAAAACGATACGCCGTCCATCTTTGAAGCTGTTACAAGTTTTCAAGACAATACGCGGCGCTAAGGCAGGAGCTACATTTTGATTACCACCCGGCCTCTATCTTCGAAACTGTTGCAAACGACCCGCCCTCCATCCTTGAAGCTGTTGCGAATTTCAAGCTGCAGGATCAGACATGGTGAGGAAGTCTCAGGCGAATCGCCCGACCTGCCCTACCGGCACGTCTGAGCGCGGGACAGGGTGAAGTTATTTAATCGTTTCGCTCACTCCGCCGTCCCGTATTGTGTCATCGCAGGCGTTCGCCTGCGCGTTCGTGGCCTTTTGGAGGCGGTTTTGGGGCCTCTTGGAGCTTCTTTATGGGCCTCTTGACGGTATTTCTGAGACCTCCTGGGGCGTCCCGGGGGCCTCTTGGGTTCCTCTTTGGGGTCTCTTGGGCCTCTCGGGAGCCTCTTGGGGGCTTCTTGGGGGCCCCTTGGAGCCTCCAGGGGACCTCTCTGCGCGCAGGGCTCGACATGTTCGTTCGGGTCCCCCGTCTGGGCCCGCTCTTGGAGCCGTCTTGGGATGATGTATTGTAGCGCTCTTCGTTCGAGGATTGAGGTTCGTTGAAGCAGAGTTGGGGAGGGGGAGGAGGGTGAAGAGGGATGAAGAGGAGGAGGAGGAGGAGGAGGAGGAGGAAGAGGAGGACGAGGAGGAGGAGGAGGAGGAGGAGGAGGAGGGGAGAATATTGATGATGAGGAGGAGGAGGCCTCTCGATTCCTGTCTTGATGACTTCTAGTAGCGTTTTTCGCTCGAGGATTGATTGGGGGTCGTTGACGCAGAGGGGGGAGAAGGAGGAGAGGGAAGAAAGAAGGAAGGGTTGGTGAGACGATAGGAGGCCTCTCGGGGGCCTCTGGGCCCTTGGGGACCTCTTGTAGGTCTCTTGGGGCCTCTCGCGGGCCTCCTGGGGGCTTCTTTGGGGGTTTCTCGAGGCCTCGAAGGGACCTCTCTGCGCCTAGAGCTCGACATGCCCGTTCGGGTCCCTCGCCTGGGCTCGCTCTTGGAGCCGTCTTGGGGGCCTCTTCGGCTGCCTTGGAAGCCTCTGGGGCTGTCTTGGGGCCCCTTGGGGCCGTCTTGGGCGCTCTTGGAGGCCTCTTGGGCCATGTTGGGGCGATCCTGGAAGCTTCTAGAGCCGTCTTGGAGCGCCGGTAAGCTCAAGGCGAGAACGCCGAAAACCTCTACAAGCTAATGGGAAATCGCTGATTTTTGCCTCTATGGCTCCTCTTGGGAGGTCTCGTGGGGTCTCTTGGGGCCTCTCGGGGGCTTCTTGGGAGCTTTTTGGGGACTTCTCGGGTCCTATGGGGGATCTCTCTGCGCCTAGAGCTCGACATGTCCGTTCGGGTCCCTCGTCTGGGCCCGCTCTTGGAGCCGTCTTGGGACCTCTTCGGCCATCTTGGAAGCCTCTGGGGCTGTCTTGGGGCCCTCTGAAGCCGTTTTGGGCGCTCTCAGAGGCCTCTTGGGCCGTGTCGGGGCGATCCTGGAGGCCTCTTGGGCCGTCTTGGAGCGCGAGTAAGCTTCAAGGCGAGAATGCTAAAACCTGCAAAATCTGTAGGGGAATCACTACATTCTGCCTCTGTGGGTCCTCTTGGGAGGTCTCTTGGGGCCTCTTGGGTTCTCTTGGGGCCTCTCGGGGGTCTCTTGGATGCTTTTTGAAAGCCTCTTCGGGCTTCCAGGGGACATCTCTGCGCCTAGAGCTCGACATGTCCGTTCGGATCCCTCGTCTGGGCCCGCTCTTGGAGCCGTCTTGGGACTTCTTCGGCCATCTTGGAAGCCAGGCTGTCTTGGGGCCCTCTGAAGCCGTTTTGGGCGCTCTCAGAGGCCTCTTGGGTCGTGTTGGGGCGATCCTGGAGTCCTCTCGGACCGTCTTGGGGCGCCAGTAGGCTCCCAATGCGAGAACGCCACAAACGTGCTCTGCCTCTGCGGGCCCTCTTGGGAGGTCTCTTGGAGCCTGTCTGGGCGTCTTGGATCGCTGTTGGGCCGTCTCGGGCCATGTTGAGCTCTCTTGGAGGCCACTGGACGCGCTCCTGGAACGCTCTTGGGAGCCTGCTGGGACCTGCCCGGGACCTGCCCGGGACCTGGCCGAGACCTTGTTGGGACTTGCCAGGACCTTGCCGGGACTTGCCGGGACCTTGCCGTGGTACTTTTCGTCCGAGGACCCCCATGGGGCGGCCCCGTGCGTGCGAACTAGAAATTCTATTAAGCGAAACGCCCGACCTGCCCCACCGGCACGTCTGAGGGCGGGACAGGGTGGAGTTATTTATGAGGAGGAGGAGGAGGAGGAGGAGGAGGAGGAGGAGGAGGAGGAGGAGGAGGAGGAGGAGGAGCACCATGAGGGCGTCTGCATTGTCGGGGCCACGGAACGCATGGCGCGTGTTGGAGAGAGGCGTCACGACCGTGCACCGTCGGAGCTGGCCGTTGCCGAGGCCGGGACCTACGGTATCGAGCCCCCGAACACTCGCGCACCGCCCGGCGGCAATCTGTACGTCTACAACATTCCCTTGGATTGGAAGGACATCAACCTTTACAGGCGGGGGGTCGGGATGAGGAGGAGGAAGAGGAGGAGAAGAGGAGGAGGAGGAGGTGGAGGAGGAGGAGAAGGGGAGGAGGAGGAGGAGTATTAGCAGTAGGATCGAGGAGTTGGTTGCTTTCGGGTCTCGGGTCTCGGGATGCCTCCAGGGACATCCAGAGACCTCCGTAGGGCTCAGGGATCACTACCAAGCTTTAGATGACGGTGCTGATAATCCTAGAAGAGCGGAAAGCCATGTGAACGCACATGCTGCCTGTTAACGCACATGCTGCCCTCTGAAGGTTGGCTGGCAAGCTACGGATCACCATGAAGAAAGTCAAGGCCCACAAGGATGTGTCTCAGGCTTCTTTTCCTGGAGAGCCTTCTGGTCAGAGGTACTGTTCATGCCTACGTCTCGGCCAAAAGGGCTGCGTTGGACACTCACTGGTCGGCTAGGGGCATCGAAGTATATGAAGAAGGGGCTGATTGACTCGACAGTGTGGCCACTGCCGCACTCAAGATTTTACACTTCTGGCCGCCCGCGAAAGAGCTGTTTGGTGCCTTCGAGAGGGGGCCACGCTCCGGGCCCCGGCGCCAGCCTGCGTCTCGTCCGCACCTCACGGTCTGGGCCAACAGGGCTTGGCGTTGTGTGTCTTGCCGGAGGTCGGAGAGTCAGCGCTTATCGAACACAGCGCGCGGAAATCCGCCTGCGTCAGTGCAAGATGTGTTCAGGGCGGCCCTGCAGCCAGGATGTGAACAAACCTTGTGGATGAACAGGGCAGCTGAGGCAGGTCTTCAGTGAGTTCTTGTGTGCGGGATGCGGGGCGATGGCCGCCAGTCGGGCGGTCCGCCTCCGCGAGGCAAATCCTCACCAAGACCCTGAGGACGGGGATCTGGGCACATTGAGGCAGGGCTGGACCTAAACGGTGTTTTGGCAATTTCGTGGGCCGTTTTCGCTTCGACTTCGTTTTGCGGCAAAGGCGGGTGGTGGTGGTCACTGCATAAGGGAAACAGAATCCCGAGCAGAGCAACACGCACCACGACCACGACGACGCCGACGACGACGACGACGGAGACGAAACGAGGGCAAACGAAAACAACACGAAAGAGACAAACACCGTCTAGGTCCAGCCCCGCATTGAGGAGGGGGATTCTTCCAGCAGGAGGAGGAGGAGGAGGAGGAGGGCACCGGCTTGAAGGGCCGTGGCCCCTCCGCTCCACCCCCCCCTCCGCCGCAGGGCACGCCGCCTCCACCTCCCCCCTGCTCCCAGGTGGCGCTCCAACTTGCCGACTTGGGAGGCCTGCACCCCGTGCCGTCGAGCGTGCGGCTGCAGGTTTCCTTCTTCTCGTGAGGAGTGCCTCTTCGGACGGGGCGTTTCCCACCAATTGGTCTCCCCCTGCTGTGCCCGAGCCGGCTCTGGCAGGGCAGCGATATCCCTGCGTCAGTTCGATCTCGTTCCGAAGTTATGCTTTACTTCTGTATTCTGTTGCTGGGGGGGCGGGGGGGGGCCGTCGGCCTCCCCTCTCCCGTGCGGCGCTACATGCGCTCACGGAGGAGGAGGAGGAGGAGGAGGAGGAGGAGGAGGAGGAGGAGGAGGAGGAGGAGGAGGAGGAGGAGGAGGAGGAGGAGGAGGAGGAGGAGGAGGAGGAGGAGGAGGAGGAGGAGGAGAGGAGGAGGAGAGGATGAAGACGACGACGTCGACGACGACGACGACAACGACGACGACGGTGATGGTGATGGTGATGGTGGTGGTGGTGGTGGTGATGGTGATGGTGATGGTGATGATGGCGGTGGTGGTGGTGATGATGATAATGATGATGCTGAGGATGCAAATGAGGATGAGGAGGATGCAGATGAGGGTGGGGAGGACAAGGATGCTAATGAGGTTGAGGATGGTGATGCGGATGAGGATGATGATGATGATGATGATGATGATGATGATGATGATGATGATGATCGTGATGATGATTACGGTGATGATGATGATGATGATGATGATGATGCTGATGATGATGATGATGATGGTGATGCTGATGATGATCAGACTCATGATGCTGCTGTTGATGATGAGGAGTATTTTGCGGATGCTGATGCTGATGCTGATGGTTATGCGGATTATGGTGATGTGGATTACGATGCTGCTGATGATGATGCTGATGGTGATGATGATGCTGATGATAACATTGATGATGCTGATGATGGTGTTGAAGCTGCTGATGATGCTGATGTTGGTGATGCTGATGATGCGGATGCTGCTGATGATGCTGATGGTGATGATGATGGTGATGATGGTGATGATGACGGTGGGGATGATTGTGATGATGACGATGATGATAATGACGATGATGATGATGATGATGATGATGATGATGATGATGATGATGGTGATGGTGATGGTGATGGTGATGATGATGCTGCTGATGATGATGATGATGGTGGTGGTGGTGGTGGTGGAGGTGGTGTTGGTGGCGATGGCGACGATGCTGATGCTGATGATGCTGCTGATGATGATGCTGCTGATGATTATGTTGCTGATGATTATGCTGACGGTGCTGATGCTGCTGATGATGCTGTTGATGATGATTATGATGATGCTGATTATGATGGTGAATGGTATCATAAGTAGTACCAGTCTTATTGTTATCGTTATGCTGATGATGATACTGCTAATGGCGATGATGCTGGTAATGGTGAGGATGATGATGAGGATGTTGATGCTGATGCTGATGATGCTGGTGATGCTGATGCTGCCGCTGATGATGCTGATGATTTTGTCGTTGTTGTTGATGATGGTGATGCTGGTGATGGCGATGATGATGAGGAGGAGAAAAGGAGGAGGAATCATCAGCAGCAGCAGCAGTAGGACTTAACAAGCAGAAGAAGGATGAAGAGAAGGACGATGAAGAGGACGAGGAGGAGGAGGAGGATGAGGATTAGGAGGTGGAGGGTGGAGGAGGAGGAAGAGGAGGAGGATCAGCAGGATCGGAGGTCTTCATTGGAACATCCGCCTCAGGCAGGCAAGAGGTGGATCAGCATCAGCAGGAGCGGGTTCAGGACGATTGGGTGCAGGAGTCTGAGAAAGGAGGGCGAGGTTGATTGCCCAGAGGGGGGGGACTGGTCAGTGGGGGAGGGAGAGAGCGAGAGAGAGACGAACAAACAAAAAGAGACGGAGAGAGAGGGAGAGAGAGAGAGAGATGAACCTACACATATGTACTAGAACCACGCGCGCTTCGCGCGCGCTTAGTTTCTACTTCGGCATATGCACAAGTTTCGTTGTGATACCACGGGGTTGGGAGAAACTTGCCGTAGATGGCAATGATCCCCATTTGCTGAAGGTAAACTGGGGATTGATTGAGGCCGGGACGTCGTGTTCTCCAACTCCCTGTCCCTCGTCGCAATCGTCCTTCTCGATGAGAAGCAGCAGCAACAGCAGAACGATCTCGGAGCAGCAGGAGTAGGTTTTGCATGAATCCATCAACACCGATCCTGGCGAGGCCAATCGGGCCATCTTGGTTTGGTCTGGGAGGCTTCTTGGACCGTCCGAGGCTGTCGTACGCCCGACCCCCCAGCGTGGCTGGGTTATGAGTCAGAGCTCTCTTGGATGCCTGCTAGGGTCCCTTGGGAAGGCTCAGGGGAATCTCTTGGGTGTGGTTTTGAACATCTCTGGGGCCTTTGGAGGGCCGTTCAGGGGCCTTGTGGGGTCTCTTTCGGCCCGCTGGGGCCTCTTGGGGCCTGCTGGCGGCAGCACAGGAGGAGGAGGAGGAGGAGGAGGAGGAGGAGGAGGAGGAGGAGGAGAGGGAGGGAGGAGGGGAGAGGAGGAGGAGGAGGAGGAGAGGAGAGGAGAGGGGGATGGGAGGAGGGGCAAGAGGAGGAGGAGGAGGGGGAGGAGGGAGGAAGAGGAGGAGGAGGAGGAGGAGGAGGAGGAGGACGAGGAGGAGGAGGAGGAGGAGGCGGAGGAGGCGGGGGAGGAGGGGCACGGGTACAGGGTACAGGGTTCGACGCCTGTGGTAAAAGGCAGCCGCCGCCTTAACAAAATCAGGCCAGGTGCTCGACGATCGCGATAACCCTTCATGTGTCGCCCTAGGTCCCCATCAGAGGCAGGCCGTGCGCGAGTGTGCTGTGATGGCTCACTTGTCTATGCGAATGGCTCCTAGATCCCAGATGGGTCGAAGCAGATGGGGTCGGAGGGTCGCGTTACATCGCCGATGCATCGGCGATGCAGGTCGATGTAGGACCATATTGTCTGCACGCCGACGTCGCCGATGCATCGGCGGTGCATCGGCGAGGCGGCGCGATCATCCGACCCCATGTGCTCTGACCTCTTCTTCGAAGGCCTTCTAGCTTGCCTTGTGCTGGGCCCTTGACGACCTCGGCGCCAGCTACGCTGCGGACCATCAGCATTCAGGAGCGCTGGCAGACGAGACCGCTGCACTGCTTCGCACCCAGTGCGGCAGCCGCTTGCCTTGGAACCTTGAACATGCTGGTCTCCAGGAGCGCTTCGACGTCTCCTTGGCCTTCCGGGCCACTGTGTAGAGAAGTCATCCGAAGTGCTACAGGAGGGGGGCTCACGTGACAGTGCAGATGCCGATGCCAGTATCGTCTCCAACTCTGTGATCTCGATCTGGATCTGACTCGTTTGCGCCTGACTGCCAGCTCCTTGCTCTTGATTGGGCCTCCGCGAAGCCTAATCGTGCGAACGGGATTCTGTAACCAGCATGGCCGACAGGAGCCTTCGCCAGCTTCTGTCCCACGACGGTGTGTTGTGCGGTGCTCATTTTCTTGGACTGCAGCTGCTGTCGAATTGCCTCGAGCTGTTCCTGCGAAGCCCACTGGCTGGAGCCATGCCCTCATCCACGCCAGAGGCTTAAATCGGGCCTGTCCCTCTACAGGGGGAATCTTCAAACATAGTAAAGCAACAGTTTGGGGACTATTTTTTGAACATGTTTTGACCAGTTTGGAGTAATTTTTGGGTATTTCTTAGTTTTCGTCGAAGATCCCCCTGTGGGGGGACACGCCCGACTTAGCCAGAGGCCTTGACAGCGCTCTCGAGAGCAGCCGCTCTGGCCCGAGGAGTGCCCTCCGCTCCTGCTCCTAAATTCTTCAAACGTTTTAAATACGTAAGAACATGCCTGACACATGTTTTGAGAACATCTTTTCCACACTTGAGACACATATTTAATCCAATGATAGGATTGTCAGAGTGTCCATTGTCATGGCATCCACAGGCCTAGTGCCCAGACAGCTGCCCATCTGTCTCCGCACGGCTATCGGCCGCTGGCCCCGCTTGGCCTGCCGTCGCCGCCCCGCCCGGCTGCCGCTCGCCTGGAAGACGACCGCCGCCTGCCCGACGCCGATCGGGCCGCGGGGCCGCAGCACCGCCGCAGGAGGGCCCCCGCCCCCTGGGCAACGACGACAGCAGTAAGAGGCGATGCGCTTTGAACGCGAGGTGCAGCGATGACCTTGGCCTGCCCAGGCAGGGGCTCGTGGGGGGCAACGGGGCGGGGAGGGGCGTGCGAGGGGCCTCGGACAGGGGGCCAAAGTACTCTCGTGAAAGGGCCCGCTAGCATGCACCCGTCCCGCACCAGTCGCGAACACCAGAAGCATGAAGATAGCGGGGGCGGTGTCTAAACGAGCAGCAGGGTCAAACCATGCGCCCCCGCGACGTTGTCTCATTACATCGTGTGCCATTCTAGCTACGAGGATTCAGACGCGGCCTTGCTCAGAGAACGCGTCGTATAGAGCACGATGGGCCTTGACCTGGGATCAAGAAATCCGGGGCCCCGGCGCGACGTGGCCCCGCGCCCTCCAGTAGTGGCTGAAGAAGGTGGCACCCTTCAAGATTTAGGCGCGCTGCGCGACTCCTCGGAAATGAGCCATGCAATCCACTGCCAATTCTAAGGATCATTCGAGAGCGCGACTTTAATGGCGCATCATTTCGCGCGAGGACAAGGGCCATGCCAGACGACCGCTCTCGAACGCTTATGCGCGCGCGCCCCAAACCTGTTCGCTTC